CTCATCAATAGTCAGGATGCCTGCACGTCCAACAATCCAAAACGTCGGGTTACAGCGATGCACACTGATCAGGCCCTGATCGAGGACTTGTGTTATCTTTCTGAAGGAAGTAAACTATACACGTTCCCAGCCACAGAAGCTGTCACGGAGCATCACATTACCTTTACTATGAATAACATCTGAATCTTTGTACGTGATATGGTGTATGAAGCAGCAACCAAAAAAACGATACTCTTTTCGAGGATAAGCAAATAATTATATCATTATATTTTATATACTGTTGTGAGATAGAACAGCAGTCATAGGTGCATATTTCTTGTGCAGCAATACGCTGGTCAACTTCTGACTTTTAAGAACGATGCTAGATGGTGATTTCATTTAATTTTGCAAATCATTTTAAAAGAACAAGGATTTGTTTGTTGCTTAACGCCACATTATTCCCGTATATCAGTTCAAGTTTGTTTTTTGTGTGTTTGTTGCACGCAGCAATATTCCAGCTATATGGCGGCGGTCTGTAAATAATCCAGTTTGGACCAGACAATTCAGTGATCAACAGCATGAACGTCGATCTACGCAACTGGGAACCGATGACGACAAGCATGGGTTGCTGTAGACCAAATCTAACCGCGACCTTGGCGGGTTCGTGCTCCAAGTGGGTGGACTGTAAAGAAGCCTCAAACAGGGAACACCAGGTCATGGGTTGATGAAGGCAACACCTAAAACATACTCCGTCTACTACTTCATTTGTATTTTAATCCTGCATGGGTTTATTGTCAGCGGATATTAAAGTAAATTATCTTAGAAAGGGTATTATGTCTAAGCGCAACTGAGTTGTTATCAAACAGCGTATGATCTCCACAGAATTGCGTATAGGAAAAAATCAGGCATGGATCTTTCTGAAAATTGGTCGTAAAAGGTCATGACGTCTTCTTGCACAAGAATATAAGATAGGTCCACATGGAGCATGGTGATATCTCCAGAGAGAGACATCAGTCCCCAACAGCTCCTAATTGGTATTTAACAGCAAGGCTCTGTCAGTCACTGCATGGCTGTTCCATACACATTACAAAACAAAATCGACCAGAAGTATTTTATTTGTTTGCTGTTTTATACTTAAGATCAGGAAAAATAACACATTCCATCCCGGACATGTGCGGATCCGTGAAGTTCTGAACCAAGGCCAGGTTTGGTGCGGGTTATAAAATCCTGGTTTAGTTACGGTTAGGGGGCAAAGCTGTGCGAAGTTACGTCCCTTGGACACGCCAGAAACCTATAATCGTGGGTTAGAATCACGGTCTGCAATTATTATGTTTCCAGGTTTCACAGTAACGTAGAAAAGCTCGTGGGATTCACTATATTGGTCACTTCGGGCCTTTCTCCCACATTTAGCAGACACGCTTCTTGATAGACAGTCTGTCTAGAAATCAGATCGTTGAGCTTCAAAACAACTGAAAATTGGAAATGGTCTGTATTAAATGTCAGCATGGCACATGGTACTCTGTACCCAACAATATCTTCTATATTTTCATACCCTTCACAGGAAAGGTTGTTTCAGAAACTTTCATGTTATGTGCATAAGTTGACATCTTTAACGGAGGCGGGCACAACGTCAGGAGAAACAGCCCAAACATGTACTGCACGTGTTGTATTGTATTCGTCGTTGTTGACTGACAGATGCGCCTTTGAGCTGATGTGAAAAAGGTGATTTTTAAGATGTAGAATGTGAAGAAGAAAGACGAAAAACATTTTGTATCATAATAAATACCTGAAACGTGCTTTTAAAGCATGACGTGTCTTTAACAAGTTGAGGGGAAACTGTCAACTGACGGGACTCAAGCAATCACGTGACAACCCAAAGGCTTCTTATGCTGTCGTTGTGCAGCAAGTGCGTCATTGCGCTGTTTCTCCCTACTTTGTGCTCCCCTCAGTTAAAGACGTCAACTTACACACGTAACAACACGACAGTTTCATAAACAATGTCAAGGTATATGTATACAAATACCGAACAGCAGTGTACTGTATTGACATTTAATAGACTATTCCCCATTCTGAGGTATTTTGCAACTCAACGTTCTCGTGTGGGGCAAACGGACTGTTACTAGAAGATTGGGTAAAACGGCGTTGAGTCGCTCCCTTACCCTTTACATCTCATGGACACTTCTCCTATAAACGGGGGTAGGGGGAAGCCTAGTGGTTGAAGCGTTCTCTCGTTACGCCGAAGACCCGGGTTCGATTCCCCACATGGGTACAATGTGTGGAGCCCTTTTCTGGTGTCGCTGCTGTGATATTGCTGGAATATTGCTGAAAGCGGCGTAAAACTAAACTTACTCACTCACTCTCCCCTTAACGACTCGGCCGTTCCAGTATGTGAAGTGTATGCACGAGCGCAGCAAGCCAGTTTTTTCGTGTAAGCCCGATAGGTTGCGAAGCTTCATATTTAGATAGTTTTGAGGCCTTGCCCAACCTTTTTAGCAACAATCATGTGTAAGCCCGGGTTTTATATATATATTGGTAGCTGCGCAAATAGGTTGGTGCTATGAAAAGTTGTTTTTGTTGTGAAGGCAAAAACTATTACATAAATGTATGATCCTCAACATGTCATGTTTAGTATAGATTATATAATTACATTTGCAGTTTCAAACAGAAAAAACACATGTTCTTATGAGCATTTGAACGTGGACGAAATGCGTTACGAGCGAGTGTTCGAACTTCCACATTACCAGAGTGAATGTACGAATGATTTTCGGCGCAAACAGCACTATTTCGGCTACATCGCATCGCATGGGCCTGTAACTAGTTCGGCCGAAACAATGGTTGATAGCATTCAGCGACCATAGCCGGCACGGCATTATCAGACAGACCACACATTACCACCCGTGAACATCCGGGTTACAATTGGTCTTCAGCAACCCATGTATGCTTGTTGTTAGAGGCGACTAACGGGATCGGGTGGTCAGGCTCGCTGACCTAGTTGACACATGTCATCGTATCCCAGTTGCGTGGATCGATGCTGATGCTGTTGATCACTGGATTGTGTGATCCAGACTCGATTATTTACAGACCGCCGCCATATAGCTTGACGATTGCCGAGTGTGGAATTAAACACCAACCAACCACTTTCACGAGCCTAATCGCATTCTGGAATTGGGCTGTCAGTAAATGCCTCATGGGGGTTTCTGCAAATGTTTTGATACTTTATGTAAAAACTAATTCGTTTAATTGACATCATCATTTTCACGTTTACGACCAATAGGGTCTGTTTCGCAGATAATCGAGAGAAATTTGTCTATGGCGTTGAAGGTATGAATCACTGAAGAGCATGTCGTAGATGAACACGTACACAAGCGTTTGTATAGCGAGCCTTTGATGGAAACATTCTACCCTTACACATAGAATTGGTTTATGTCATTTAATAACACGCACTTACATAACAGATGTATTATTGGTTTCAACTGAGACTGTTCCAGAAATTATAAATGAACTTCCTCTCAACTTCCTCTCAACTTCCTCTCAATATGTTTAGTGAGTGAGTATGGATTTAAAGATTTGTAAATATTTCGGTAATACAACGCATATCAGCTTGATGGTGGAGTGAAGTAGGCCGTAGACGATCGCGACTCTAGTGGAACCCATGAGCACGGGTTATAGTGCTGACAAACCTACAACTTGAGCACACCGGGATTCGAACCCAGGATCCCAGGATTTCAAGTTGATTTCTGGCGTATCCAAGGGTGAGTGTGAGTGAGTTGGGTTTTACGCCGCTTTTAGCAATATTCCAGCAACATCACGGCGGGGGACACCAGAAATGGACTTCACACATTGCACCCATATGGGGAATCGAACCCGAACGCTTTAACCACTAGACTACCCCACCGCCCCCGAATCCAAGGGAGGCAACTCTGCACAGGGAGTTGCGTTGCTTAGGGTATCTGGACCACATAGGTGCCCTTATGTTATTAAGAACGTACACAAATGAACATGTCATTCCTGTGTGTAATTCTTGTCTGAATTTTCACACTATACTCGGATATCTCTCAAACGCATTACGAAATAACATGCACTAGACATATTCACCATAATATAGGAAAATAATACTTATTTGTTTTAATTGAACGATCACAAATTCAAGATACATCTCAAGCTGAAGTTAAACATCTTGGACAAACTATATACAATTGTCCGAGCAGAACTTGATATGTGCCATCTGTATGCAGAAACAGCGGTAAAATGTAAACAGATGCTATCAATGAGACAGCCCAGCGTTACGTTCCTTTACTAACAATAACCCCGAACCTTTGGAGATCAGTAACCTTATCTATGGTCACCACGTTTTGTAACAAAAGCACCATGGATCCAGGAATGACGTTTTTCCTAAAATATGTCATGTGAGATATCGGAGTATAGAAGCTGAAAAATCAAATGCTTGGACAGAACTGAACTTAGTTCTCTTCTGACAAGGTAAAGAGCCAAGCTTTGGTGTTAATTCAACTTTTCTCAAATGCCATCTGTGTATACATAAAAAAGTCGTTCCTTGAATTGTATTAAGCATTTTGGTTAAACACTGATATAGGGAATTGGATGCCAATTTGCTGGACATAGCTGCCTGTCTCTCTCTGTAAGGACGTTTATAGAACCATGGAATCCATAACAAACAGGAATGGACACATATGTGGCATTACTTTATATGTGCCTTAAAAGAAGGTCTTTGATCCAACACTAGGCTGTGTAATTTTCTGTCTGTGAAATGGGAACTGCACAATTGTCATGCAATGCCACCAGATTTTGGATGCCAGATGGCTGAGAGAGAGATATAATTAAATATATACTTGTAGGTATAAACAGTACTACACGTCTACGGAATTGATGATCATTTTCACTACTTCCCGTGGAAGAGTAACCAAAGCATTCACACAAAAACTGCATCAACATTAATCTGTACATTCGTGGAACAGAACCTATAGCGACATACAACGTGGAATGAGTAGTTAATGCTGAGTTACCTGAAGGTCCTGTCCATCAGCCGCTCGTCATACAAGCTGGTCGGAACTTGGGCTCGAACCGGGGCAGTCATCAGGAGGTGCCATGTACGTTATCCACAAGGTGTTGTAAGAAATGTATCCACAGTTTCTCCATGTGTCCATGCATTGATATATGTTCGCTACATTACGTCACAACAGCTTTCACAGAGCGATGTTACTGCGTTGACTGAGATATGATCACTGTTGCCGTCCAGCCACCACTATCTGTCTGTTACTCTGCAACAACAACGTAAAACCCAGTTGTATGTCCAATCTACTCAAACACTAGCCGACAGCAAGGCTGTATCTAACGCGATCGAACGGCGATAAATGAAAGGCGCTTCCTCGTGTTGCAAGAACTATTCAGTGTTCAATGAAATATTTGCCCTCGGCTTATCAACAGCGGCTGCTGTTTCGAGCCCCTCGTTGAGCCGATCAAAGCGTTGCAGCCCATACGGTTCTATATGAGTATTTCATTCGTTCTCGTAGTAAGCCTCTCCCAACGCTAAGACAATTGTGTTGGGTCTTCATTCATTTAGTAAATGTCGCAATAACTGAAACGGTGAACGCACATCACGTGATCGATCCCTGTCCCCCTGAGCGTTAAAACTAGAAGCGTGATTACCCCAGAGATGTCGGGGAATTAGTACAGTCAAAGCTTTCATCATTCCGCCACATCAAGGCACGCGAGGCTTGGACCATATGTTTCATCACTATACTGTACACTGTACTGAACACGAAACTTCATGAAGAAGAAAAAAGATGATCGTTTTCTCTCGGCGCCATTCCCAGCGTCTGTGTCAAGGCGTCGAGTGTATTTTCTGGAAAGCTTTCAATATATATACCTGTCGATGTAGCAATTTTTGGCCTTATCAGCTTAAATTACAAATTACTGACGAATATTACCTTCATAAAACAAAGAAAAGAGGCTTGGCGGTGGACTTGGAAAGGGGTAAGGTAGCATTAGGTCATCAGAAAACAACGCTTAGCAAAGTACATCAATTTACGTTCAATTGAAAAGACGCCGATTACATGGTTGAACTGGGCCTGTGAAACATTATGTCGGAGATAACAATTACCTGTGTAGGTGTACCTGTGTAGGTTGCTTTGGGAATACGTTTAGAATGTCTGGTGTGATGGGGTTCGAGCAATTCAATCCCAAATAGCAAACTGGAAATGCAATGGTAACATATTTATGTTAACTGAATCAAACAGTCAGTCTCAGTAGCTGATACCCAAATAAGGTACGCCTTAAACGTTAGATCGATACAAAGTTTTAAAAAAGCTAATTTCTGTACTGAGACTTTGTTATTGATTAGCTAGTCTCGTTCTCCACAGACCACAGACAGTACAGTGCATGTACAGTGCATGTATAGTGCAATGACAGATACAGTCAATACACCAAGGTGCGAGTGAGTATGGTTTTACGCCGCCTTAAGCAATATTCCAGCAATACCACGGCGGGTTACACCAGAGATGGGCTCAACACATTGTTGTACCCATGTGGGGAATCGAACCCACGTCTTCAGATTGACGATCGGACGCTTTATCCATAAGGCTAGGCCGCGGAACCTGTTAGGTTTAGATTTCAAAGTGTGTTTGGAAATTGTGCTTTGACAGCCCATTACATGTGACTTATATTATATTGCTGTGGGCTTCTACATCTGTATCACAGATATATTACATTTATTCTTCAATATTATTACCCCTGCATAACAGAACAATCACGTCTCTTTCGCGGTGCCATTTCCATTATATATCAGAGGATTATTGCACCGATATTAAAATACTATCTTATAAATCTTTATTACACGATAATTGCACCTATATTTCATTATGCTAACATCTCATATATTAGAAGACTATTAGATAAAGAAACGTTTATTACACGTATATTGCAGGAATATTACAATTACATTACACTATATATTTGAACAGCACAACCAGCTGAAAGACCTTACACAATCTGGAATATTACAGTACGCGTTCATTGAGCCGTACCAACCTTATTCCTGCCACTAACACCTTGATTGAACAGACTGAACATTGTGGCATGGTTCAATCAACAGCGTTGGTTATTCATATGAGGATAAATACATGTGAATGCGACAACTGTAGCAATACGTTTGGGTACTATGAATATACGCTCCTATCCTCATTACTGTGTTATCCCTTTATCTAGCATATATAACACCAGCCAATTGAATTCAAAAGCCAAGGTTACAGATCTGGACAAGACGATGCCGCTTTTTGTTTTAGTCAGCTGAAGTTAGACGTATGGATTTTTAGATACTTCAAGGAGTGGTGTTTCTTTATGTTTTTGGTAATTGGGGATGTTTTTTTAACTGCGGTTGGCTGTAGTCGTGTTAAAGTGACAGACGCTTTTGACAGACATTTTCTTTACTATTGACTGATGTTCGTATAATGCCGCTTTGATCAATATTTCAGACATATCACGGCCTTTATGTTGGAGGATGGCGAGAGATGATGCAGTACTCCTCTGGTAAAACCCATAAGCATGGGCTTATTGGCAAACATAGAATCGGAAACTTGAACCAGTGACCATGAATGCCGGTGTCTAGCACAGCGATTATACAGCGCCTTACACTTGGGCAGACCAACCTCCCTAGGGATGGTATTCGTGTATTCGATGAATCCAACCGTATCAAAACATGAACTGAATTAGTTATTCGCGATCACAAGAATCGAATATTCATGAATATTTTAAATGAAATGTTTTGACTCGCCGGTTTCGGGCACAGCGATTAAACGACGCCTAACACTGGGTCACCGATATACGGCGCCTTGAACTTGGCCAGCGATATATGGCGCCTTGAGCGGGGCCAGCGATATACGGCGCCTTACACTGGGCCAGCGATATACGGCGCCTTACACTCGATCGGCTGTATACGGCTCCTTGAGCGGGGCCAGCGATATACGGCGCTTTGAGGGGGGCCAGCGATATACGAATGCCTTACACTGGGTCAGCGGTATAAAGCGCCTTACACTGGGTATACTGCGCCTTACACTAGGTCAGCGGTATACTGCGCCTTACACTGGGCCAGCAATATACGGCGCCTTACACTGGGCCAGCGGTATAAAGCGCCTTACACTGGGGTATACTGCGCCTTACACTGGGCCAGCAGTATACTGCGCTTTACACTGGGTCACCGATATACGGCGCCTTACACTGGGTCCGCGATATATGGCGCCTTGAACTGGGTCAGCGGTATAGTGCGCCTTACACTAGGTCACCGATATACGGCGCCTTACACTAAGTCATCGATATACGCCGCCTTACACTGGGTCACCGATATACGGCGCCTTACACTGGGTCACCGATATACGCCGCCTTTACACTGGGTCAGCGGTATACTGCGCCTTACACTGGGTCACCGATATACGGCGCCTTACACTGGGTCACCGATATACGGCGCCTTACACTGGGTATACGGCGCCTTACACTGGGGATATCAACCTTACACTGGGCCTTCACCGATATAGGTCCATACCGAGCCTTACACTGGGTCACCGATATACGCCACCTTACACTGGGTCACCGATATACGGCGCCTTACACTGGGTCACCGATATACGGAGCCTTACACTAGGGTCAGCGATATACGGCGCCTTACACTGGGTCAGCGATATACGGAGCCTTACACTGGGTCACCGATATACGCCGCCTTACACTGGGTCACCGATATACGCCGCCTTACACTGGGTCACCGATATACGCCGCCTTACACGGTCGCCTTACACTGGGTCACCGATATACGCCGCCTTACACTGGGTCACCGATATACGGAGCCTTACACTGGGTCACCGATATACGCCGCCTTACACTAGGTCAGCGGTATACTGCGCCTTACACTGGGTCACCGATATACCTCGCCTTACACTGGGTCACCAATGTATATACTTACACTAGGTCCGGTATACTGGAGCCTTACACTGGGTCACCGATATACCTCGCCTTACACTGGGTCACCGATATACGCCGCCTTACACTGGGTCACCGATATACGGAGCCTTACACTGGGTCACCGATATACCTCGCCTTACACTGGGTCACCGATATACGCCTTACACTAGGATATACGCCGCCTTACACTGGGTCACCGGTATATACACTGGGTCACCCGGTCTTACACTGGGTCACCGATTACTTACACTAGGTCAGCGATATACCTGGAGCCTTACACTGGGTCACCGATATATCAGCGGTATACGGAGCCTTACACTGGGTCACCGATATACCTCGCCTTACACTGGGTCACCGATATACGCCGCCTTACAACTAGGTCACACTACACTGGGTCACCGATATACCTCGCCTTACACTGGGGTATACGCCGCCTTACACTGGGTCACCACCGGATACCTTCGCCTTACACTAGGTCAGCGGTATACGGAGTCTTACACTAGGTCAGCGGTGCTGGGAGCCTTACACTGGGGGTCACCGATATACCTCGCCTTACACTGGGTCACCGATATACGATATACGCCGCCTTACACTGGGTCACCGATATACGGAGCCTTACACTGGGTCACCGATATACCTCGCCTTACACTGGGTCACCGATGTACGCCGCCTTACACTAGGTCAGCGGTATCGGGAGTCTTACACTGGGTCACCGATATACGGCGCCTTACACTGGGCCTTACACTGGGTCACCGATATACGGATATACTGGGTCACGCGATATACCGCCGCCTACACTGGGTCACCGATATACTCGCCTTACACTGGGAGGTCACCGATATACTGCGCCTTACACTGGGTCATCGATCTGGGTCACCTTACACTAGGTCACGGCGCCTTACACTGGGTCACCGATATACGGCGCCTTACACTGGGTCGGTACCGATATGGGTCACCGATATACGCCGCCTTACACTGGGTCACCGATATACGCCACCTTACACTTACACTGGGTCACCGATATACGCCGCCTTACACTGGGTCACCGATATACGCCGCCTTACACTAGGTCAGCGGTATACCCGAGTCTTACACTGGGTCACCGATATTACGCCTTACACTTACACTGGGTCACCGATATACGGAGCCTTACACTGGGTCACCGATATACGCCGCCTTACACTGGGTCTTACACCGATATAGCCTTTACACTGGGCCGATATACACTGGGTCACCGATATACTGGGTCAGCGATATACGCCTTTACACTGGGCCTTACACCGTCATATACGCCGCCTTACACTGGGTCACCGATATACGATATATGCGCCTTACACTGGGTCACCCGATGGGTCACTGATATACGCCTTACACTGGGTCACCGATATACCGCGCGCCTTACACACTGGGTCACCGATATACGCCGCCTTACACTGGGTCACCGATATACTGCCGCCTTACACTGGGTCACCGATATACGCCTTACACTGGGTCACCGATATACTGCGCACACACTGGGTCACCGATATATACTACCGGTTTACACTGGGTCACCGATATACTGCGCCTTACACTGGGTCACCGATATACGGCGCCTTACACTGGGTCACCGATATACGCCGCCTTACACTGGGTCACCGATATATATACACTAGGTCGCCTTACACTGGGTCAGCGATATACTGCGCCTTACACTGGGTCACCGATATACGGTCACCGATATACGCCGCCTTACACTGGGTCACGATATACCGCGCCTTACACTAGGTCAGCGCCTTACACTGGGTCACCGATATACGGCGCCTTACACTGGGTCACCGATATGCAGCGGGCGCCTTACACTGGGTCAGCGATATACGGCGCCTTACACTGGGTCACCGATATACTCGCCTTACACTGTCACGATATACGGCGCCTTACACTGGGTCACCGATATACTGCGCCTTACACTAGGTCAGCGATATACTGCGCCTTACACTGGGTCACCGATATACTGCGCCTTACACTGGGTCACCGATATACGGCGCCTTACACTGGGTCACCGATATACGCGCCTTACACTAGGTCAGCGATATACTGCGCCTTACACTGGGTCACCGATATACTGCCTTACACTGGGTCACCGATATACTGCGCCTTACACTAGGTCAGCGGTATACTGCGCCTTACACTGGGTCACCGATATACTGCGCCTTACACTAGGTCAGCGATATACGGCGCCTTACACTGGGTCACCGATATACTG